GATAAACCAGCAGTAGGGTCAGCCCAGACCCCAGCCTGACAAATACCCAAACATACACAATCGCACCATCCCACCCTCATCCTCACACCCACTCATTCAAAGACATACAAGGACGCCACGTTCCACTCATACCCCCCATACACACTCTTTACCCCCCAGGTCCAGGACATGCACCCACCCCCTATTGGAGGCAGCACACACCCGAACCCAGGAGGTAGACCCAATCATTCTGAGGTGGAGAGGAGCAGGGCCTAAATACAGTTCTAAGTGGAACAGAGTTTTTGTCCATTCGAAGGCCCATCAAAGGACTGAGAGTCCAAGACAGTTCCTTGATAATTTGACTCGAGGTGACCCCTACACTGTAATACATTCAATGGAGTATTGAGTCAGGTATTAATACCAGGACTGGCCCTGAGTATCAGGGTGTTTTGAATGAGTACTTGTAAAATTGATGGTATGAGGCCCATATCGGTATTGGTATCGAGACACCACTAGTACGAAGCAGCATAATGTATTGCAAACACATTTTTGTGTTTTTGAAAGTACCAAGTACTCACCAGATCAATGTTTGTGTTTAAGAGAAAGATAAAAGTTGCTTTGTTGAAGAAATATGAATGTGTATTCATGTTGTTGAAGAAGGATTGTTGTTGATTGTTGATGTTTTATTTCCTTTTTTAAAAGCCAAATATTATAAGATTATTTCTTCTTTCTGCTGCCTTTCATTTTTGTTTGTGATTTGTATTTTTTTGTATAAAGATTTAGTTTAGTTTTTAAATGAAATGAATAAATGATTTGCATAAACCTTTAAACCTTTACTAGGCAGGTATGTACTGGTATCCATTTTGAGTTGGTGCCTAAAATCTTTGGTTTTTGAAAAATATGTCATAATGAATTGTGGAACCATAAACAGAAGCATTAAGTCTGACTAGAACATTTGAGTTCTTTACAAAAATAATTCCAGTCAGATCTGAGGGAAATTATTGTACAATGATCCCTCTGCTTATCAAGAGTTACACAGCAGTCTTGTTTTCTCCATACATGATCGGTCCTTTCTTCCTGCAAGCAAAAATAGAACAATCAGCCAGCAAATCTCAACATCATGTTCACAAGAAGCTTCTCAGCTAACAGGCCCTGATTTTCACCTGAGATACCTCTGCAATGTGTGAGGAGGATGAGAAAGAAGAAGACGAGAGTTAATGAATGTGTCAAAAGAAGCTCGTCACCTGATGATGATTACTGTTGGTGCAGGGATCTGACAAATTTGCATTTTGATGCAAACTCACGACTGAACAACACACATCAGTGCCCATCCACTGTTAAATGTCTCTGATAAGCGCAGAGAAAAGAAGACATTGATTCAGTTTAAGGTGAGCTGAATAACTAAAGGGTCCTGAAAGAGATTACATTTAACTGATGCCTCCATCAAGCTTCAGGCAGCTGATTGCCAAGATCCTCTCCTCTCTTTGATGAAGGAAAAAGAAAGCATTTTTTTGTAGTCAGAAGTGAGAAATCAATGACCAAAAGACGGATCTGTGGTAAATGAGATCTGAGCGTCACCTCAGAGGACTCGGCGTGGCTTAGACTGACAGCTGACTGACAGGGTTAATGACAGCAAGGCTTGAAAGGTTTCAAATCAACCCTCTGGGACTCTCACTCCACATATGCTTTGTAACTAAAGGTTGAAATGCAACAATATAATGACAAAGTAGATACATTAAGAAGGGGTGTAATTAATATCTCTTGAAGCTTTGCAACTCATTTGTTATCAACAAAAGCGTGTAAAATCACCTTTTTACTTCCTGAAGTAGATAAAACCAGACACAATACCCTAGCGTGTTAAACCTGACCTGAATTCTGATCATCTTTTCTTTTTTTTCTTTTCACCTTTTTCAAAACACCTGCCAAGAAAGAAAGAAAGAAAGAAAGAAAGAAAGAAAGAAAGAAAGAAAGAAAGAAAGAAAGAAAGAAAGAAATCAATCAATCAATCAATCAATATTTTGTCAGTCAAAGCTCTCCTTTGTACGTACCTGCCCTTACCGATGGCGTAAAACTTTGAATTACTCATTAACAGAACAAGATTGTAAACTCAAATGTCTGAAGCCAGTTTTCTGTGTAAAGTGTCTGGGATTACTCTTTAAGAAGTGAAGTTTGGAATTCAGGGAAAAAGTCAGCTAGACAAACTCCTTCACCGACGGTGACATGAAGCAATGAGGGGAGTTTCAGCCCTCGATAAGGATGTTTATTTGACAAAGCTACCTGGGTGGGGACCATTATCCCACTATGACGTCATACCTTCAAGGTGGCTGGGGCCTCGTCAACATGAAAAAGCATGTTTTTTGTTTCCTCAGAAATAACATCTATATAAGATCATTGCCTCATCAAAAACATACCCAGAGTGTTGCTTTGACTCAATCATGTATGTTTGAGAAATCCTTGAATCTCCTGTAGCCATGTGGAGCTGCCCAAATGCTTGCTGGTACAAAGAACTGCTTATTTCTGAAACCCATTCTTGTAATCACCTGTTGTATTGTGAATATATTGTGTGTACTTTACCACATCAGATTCAATCAACTGTGAAAACCATCAGAACAAACTGGAACAAAAAGAAAATTTATTCTCTAAAAATCTGGTAATCTACAAACAATGCATGCAATCCCCCTCAAAACAAACATTTATTGAGAACAATTCAGAAACACATTACATGAAAACCTTTAACTGTTGGCACCAAGACAAATATATCTACATGACAAATTCTTGCACGTTCTCTCCGTGCATGCGTCTCCGGGTACTCCTGCTTCCTCCCACAGACCAAAAACATGACTGTTAGGTTAAGTGATAACTCTAAATTGTCCCTAGGTGTGAGTGAGAGAGTGAATGGTTGTTTGTCTCGTTTGTCTCTATGTGTGGCCCTGTGATGGACTTGTGACCTGTCCAGGGTGTACCCCGCCCCTCGCACTGTGACTGCTGGATATGGGCACTAGTGACCCACGCAACTCTGAAAAGGAAGAAGCGTGTACAGAAAATGGATGGATGGATGGTTGGATGGATGGATGCATGGATGGATGGATGGATGGACAAATTCTTGTGAAACTCTCAGAAAATAATAATTAAAAATATGTATATATAGCTCATCAACATTTGCAGACAACCCAGTTTTAAATGGCTACCACAGCTTCTCAGCCCTATCCAACAGAAAAAATGTCTAGAACAATCCAAGGTAGAAATTTTGAGCTAAATTTGGTGTGGTGGCAGAGCGTCATCCCCAGCATTTACTGTACTCTGGCAAAAAGCCAGTTTACATATTAGCAAAACGTGATATGAAAGGAGGAAATGATAATAAAGATTAATATTTATTGTTATGACACCCTTCTGAAGTTGAACTAATGACACAGTGCACCAATCAAATATTTACAGGAAACCACAATGACACAAAGGTGAATTGATAAAAATTAACATTTAAACATCTAATATGATAAAATATACATTTAAAAGAGGAAAGGAAAGCAGCTGATTTAATCTCCATTCCAACTGTTTTCAAAAAAAGTGACCCTAATAGAGATGCACAGTTTGTCTTTAGCTGGAAGTTAGAATAGTAATATTGCCTCAGCTGAGAATCTCAAGCTGTGGTTGTACAGGAACCTAAAACGATCAGTGACATATTTAGGCACAAAACATGCTAAAACTTTGTAAATCATCAATCAAATCTTATAGAAAATTCTCAAATTTACACGGATCCAGTGTTTTGGGCCATCTGTTGCTCATGTAAACTCTGTTGACCCTGGGATGTATAGAGTCACAAAAACAAGACTGAACCGTTCAAGTTTGCACGTTTGCTCAAGGTTATTGTCAAAGATATCACCGAGATAGCCTAATTACAGCTTTTTGCAGTGTGTTTACACAGGGGGCTTATAGCTTAGATGATTTGGAGCAAGAGTCCTGAGATTCAGGAGCCAATAATATTTAACTCCGTCTTATCGATAATAGACGGCTGAGAGTTTTGGCCCAATCAGCAGTCGAGGTCAAGGAAACAGTCATCACGAAACTTGAGTTGCTGTAAATAAAGATACAACTGATTTTAACTTTTGCCATTTTCCTACAAAATGGAAGATAGCAAAAGTTGTTCCAATTTAAAAAAACACAACAGAGTCTAAGTGCACATTTTGTCTGCAACTGGCCCAAAGGTCATTTGTATGTAGTAATTTATATATTGTATGCACAAAATAAAGTGTTAAATTATTTCAAAACCAGTTTAACTGTATACAAATATATTGGAATAAAACAAAAAAGACAAAAAAGAATATTTTCTTTTTGAGGTAACAAGTGTTTTAATCTTTAATAAATATTTCTCAATCGAGAACCTCTGTTGCACAACAAACTGCTTTGAGAGACGTTTTGTAAACGGTAATTTAAGTTATCCTGTGATTCCTACTTCCAGGAATTTTATTATGTGGTGACACATGAATAAAAATTTATTTTGCTGTTGTAACTGTTTCAACACAGTCTGTTGGAGAGGTTGAACATTATCGCAATGCGGAAAACACATTAGGCAACAGTTTTCTCAATTTCTTTATGGCTTTGTTTTTATGTCAGATTTGACTCGTCGGGTTTGAAAAAGAAACTTTCATATTTCAATGATTAAAACGATTTCACAAAGAGATTAAGTCATATGTTTGCTTACTGACGGCACACCAGTGCATGCTTACGCTGTAAAGTAATAAAGTGTAATGACAGTCATTTACTACATGTTGTAAAAAACYTTTTTTTTGTTCTTGGATTTCTTGGCCCATATTTTATTACCAATCATGTTGATGGACTTACTTATCATTTTTACAGTAAGACGTATTACTTTCGGCACCACTTCCTGTCGTTTGTTTCCTTGTCGGGCTCATAAACAAGCTTCTTCGGGGGTGGTGGTGGGGGGGTGTTGATCTAGATAAACCCTTAGGTGTGTTATGAGTGTACGGATGTTGTAAACTGTGCAGCCTTTATAAGAGCTGTAATCCCCCCGTTTGTGCCAAATCTCCTGAAAGACTGTGAAGATGGGCTGCAGACGCACAGACTGCCTTTCGAGGCCTTTGTCAAACCTTTTTGAAAAGCTCGGATCAACAGTTGGCTCCTTTCCTTTATATTTCCTCATCATTCCCATCATTGTCTCATCAGCACTTGGTGGAGGCTTCTTTTTTATCAAAGACAGAGAAGACAATGATCTTGAGCAGCAATTCACCCCAAAGAAAGGACCCTCGAAGGTGACAAGAGCCTTTGTGAAAGAAAACTTCCCGTACAACGATTCTATGTTTTCTATAGACAGGCTGTACGACAAAGGTAATTTCGCATCCCTCATTGCGGTGTCGAGAAACAGCAACGGTGTCCTGGAAAGTCCTGCGTTTGAGGACGTCCTTCGACTCAACGACATGATTCTGAATCTCACCGTGGACAACRGAAGGCTGGGCTTCAGCGACTTGTGTGCCGTGGTCAACGGAAGATGTGTCTCCAACGTCATCCTGGAAATCCTCACTCATGACAGAGCCAGAATAAGCTACCCAGAACATGTGCACAGATCCAGTTCGGTCTTCCTGGGTTCTGTTCTTGGTGGAGTTCTTACAGATAGCAACGGCAYGGTCCAAAGCGCTCAGTCTGTGAAGCTCCTCTACTATCTGGACCATCRTGAAAGCAAAGCCTCAGAGTTATGGCTGAGAGGATTTAAAGCACTCCTTTCAGAGCAGACAGACAGAAAGCACATTGATGTAAGTATCACATCTGATCTTTTTTTTAAACAATTTTACTCTTTTATTACTAAAGTACACAAGTCTATGCTTTGATAATTTGCAATGAAAAAACCTGATGTGCTCTGGTTTATAATTCAGCATTTGTAGAAGCTTAAGGATCAGAACCAAGTTCATTGTCGGACGCTCAGCTAAAAGAAACCGTGAGACATTCCTGTCTCTTTTTGCGTGTTTACCTTGAGATAAGTGCTCCTTTATCTCAGTTTATCTGGACAACAAAGGCTGTTTTCCCAAGTTCACAAGTTAATAAGCTTACAGAGTGTGGCATGTCTACCTGTGCTTTATGACCCCTCTAAGTTTGGAAAAACAAAGAATATCCCCCCAATAAATCATTTGAGAAAACTATTTATAAGGCAACAGTAATATTTCTATAATGTTTAAAGGGATCTCTGATTAGTAAGATCAATAAACCTTGTTTGATCATTTCAGTAGCTCATAATTCACATGGAGACACCACAATAAATCAGCGTCTAACAAACGTTTTTTATTTTTATTTTAGTGGAGTAATTTATTGCATGTGCAGTTTCTCTTTGTTAACACGTGTGCATACTTAGCACAAAATGCAAGGAAGTTTGTGTTTGGTACTTCTTTGTTGTAACAATTCTATGGCAATAAATCGTACATCGTTAGAAAACCTGTTAATTTCCCTTTTCAGTGGTGCTACATTTGTAAGGAACATGCATTTGTGGGATGAGTGGAGCTGAGCATGTGGGCTGCACACATGAAAGATTTGCCAAATCTTTTCTGCCAAACAGATTATTTTGGTGTTGCTATTAGCGCTTGTTTTGAGCTTCTGGCATTCCCAGGTGCTTCCAAGCAAAATATTTATTGTCAAGAACATTTTTACATCAAATAAACAATCTACCAGACACAAATTTCTTTACTTTTTGTGCTAAGTTTATGCAGAACTTTAAATTGTTGTAAAGCTGCTATAGATCAGTGACAGTTATTCAAACGTCAACGTGCTAATCAAAGCTAAACTCAATCTACCTTCAACATCATTCCAAACAGTCTGAGAAAAATTATTTCTTACCATTAGCTGCACTGAAAACTGAAAACATTTAAAATCTTTATTGGGACCACAGCAGACGTTTTGCTTACACATTTCCTTTTCGACTTTATTATCGTAATTGGACATATATCAGATGTCTAACAGTTTTTATTGTTTTGTGGTTTTGTAAAACGAAGAATCAGCTTCTGTTCTGTTGTAATCTGTTGTAAGTCACATGACCGCATGACCCAAAAGCTGAATCTAGCATTTTAAAGAGACAAAAACTAGGTGCAGGGTCGGTGTAAAAAAAAAACCCTTTCTGTTTACTGCATACTTGTGTTGTTGCTGCAGTCCAGTCAACTGATTTGTGGCCATTTTCTGCTCTCTTCTATAGGTGTCTTACTACACCTCCAAATCCAAGCAGGAGGAGATCAACAGCCACACCACAGATGGCTTCCCTTTATTCCTCATCACTTATGCCTGTGCCATCACCTTGTCGGTGTTATCCTGCCTGAGGTAAGAAGTCATCAGTGACTGTCACAAACTGAGTGATCTTCTGACTGCAAGACAAAATAAAATGTAGGCTGCAGAGAGCTGTTATTTATCAGTTTGAGGGGTGAAAAGACACATGCAGATTATAGGGAGATCTCTGAAAAAATGTGATGTTTACTTTGAAGAACAAGGACGAACTATTACTACTACAACAAAATAAAAATCTTCATTTTGTACATCCCTGTACAGAGAAGTATGCTGCAGTTTTGGCCTGGAGCTAAATACAAATTACAAAATTGAAAATGTGCCTCTAAGGAATGAAAACTACAGTTTTATAAATTTGACAAAATGTTCAAAACATAAAAAAAGGTTTGGAATGATGAAATTATTATTATTATTATTATTATTATTATTATTATTATTATTATTATTATTATTATTATTATTATTACAAAAAAGTTTAGTTTGGATTCTTTAAGCGGACTGTTGTAGTTCATTAAACAGCTTCAATTAGTTTTTTGTTAGAAAAAATTTGAGAATTGTAGGATTTCCAAGACATTTATCATCTCATAACAATTTGTTTAGAACTACTTCTGAYGTTTTTATCTTGTATTTTCAGAATACTTTATAAAGTATTGGGTTTTTTTGTCTTCTGTGTTTTTTTATCCCCAGCAATACAAAATAAACACACTATATGTGCTTTCTTTATGCAGATCAGACAATGTTAGGAACAAACTATGGATAGCTGTTGTTGGAGTCATCTCCTCTGGACTGGCAGTCATCTCCTCGTTCGGCTTACTACTTTACATCGGAGTACCGTTTGTCATAACTGTGGCAAACTCTCCTTTCCTAATACTTGGTGAGGAAAATGTACCATATTTTTTTAAAGTTCTGTGCAGTGTGTTTTGAGTAAATGCTAAAATAGACATTTATTTTGTTTTAGGAATTGGTCTGAATAACATGTTTATCATGTTGTCGGACTGGCAGCACACCCACGTGAACGATCCGGTGCCAGAACGGATGGCTCACACTTACAAAGAAGCGATCATGTCCATCACCATCACTGCCCTGACAGACGTTCTCAAGTTCTTCATTGGCGTCATGTCTGACTTCCCGTCTGTGCAGTCTTTCTGTCTGTACACGGCCACCTCCATCTTGTTTTGTTACATTTACACAATCACCTTCTTTGGAGCGTCATTGGCTTTAAACGGAAGGCGCGAGGAAAGCAACAGGCACTGGATGACCTGCATGAAGGTGCCGTCAGAGAAAACAAGCAATCGTTCGGATTTGTACAACGTCTGCTGCGTGGGAGGCAAATACGATAAGACCACAGGAGCGGAGAAAAAACAATTTGCGAGTAACTTCTTTAAGGAGTACTACGGCCCGTTTTTAACCAAACCTGTGGTGAAAGGACTGGTGTTGTTCCTTTATGTGGTGTACATCGGTACAAGTGTTTTTGGATGTTTCAAAGTTCAGCAGGGTATTGAGCTTTATGATCTGGCAGCTGATAACTCCCACGTTACAAGATTCATCAAAAAGGAAAGGCAGCTTTTTTCTGACTACGGCCCATCTGTTATGGTCATCGTAAACGAGGCRTTTCCATACTGGGATAAGACCAAAAGGTGCCATCTTCAAGCATGCCTGGACGATTTTAAAGAGCCCCAGTTTGTGGATATGGACATTTATACTTCCTGGTTAGAATCGTACCTTTCCTACGGACAAGAGAGGCATCTAAATTTAGATGATAAAGATGTCTTTCTCTCAAATCTGCCTCCATTTTTTGATTTATACCCTCTTTTCAAACAAGATGTGAACCTGATTGAAAATGTTATCCACGCTTCCCGGGTCTTCATCCAGACGGTTGACATAGCTAATGCCAGCAGAGAAATGGAAATGCTCAAAGGCCTTAAATCCATCGCTGGCAGCTGCAGAATTGCGTCTCTATCAGTCTATAACCATGCATTCATCTACTTGGATCAGTACGATGTTGTAGTGAGCAGCACCATCAAGAACGTGAGCGTGATCACAGTTGTGATGTTGGTCGTCTCTCTCCTGCTGATTCCAAACCCCGTCTGCTCGTTATGGGTGACTTGTTCCATCGGTTCTGTGACCATCGGGGTAACAGGGTTCATGGCCCTTTGGGACATTAGTCTGGATTCCATATCAATGATTATTTTCACCGTCTGCATCGGCTTCACTGTGGATTTCTCCGCTCACGTGGCTTACGCCTTCGTCTCCAGCAAGAAGTCCACTCCCGATGACAAAGCCATCGACGCTCTGTCCAACCTGGGTTACCCCATACTTCAAGGTGCACTGTCCACCATTTTAGGTGTGTCGGTGCTGGCCATGTCCGAGTTCAACACCTTCAGAACCTTTTTTAAGATCTTTTTTCTCGTCATGTTTATCGGGATGGTCCACGGGCTCGTTTTCATCCCCACGGTCCTGACGACGTGCAGCGCAGAGAAACGTAAAGAGGAGGATTTAAAAATAAGTCGTTTTTAACCACTGAAAGGGTGGTGGGACATTTTAGGCCAAAGCATTTATTTATCTTATTACACTTCTTTTTAAATGTTCCTTTATAGTTACAAAATGAGACGTCGGTATGACAGCTTACACTGGAAATTTGTTTCAGTTTTTGTTTGTTTATATGTACTAACATAAATCATGTTTTAAGGTAATTTAAAAAAGTACTGTATGTATTGTAAGTTATTCATTTTTTTGTATATTCATTGTGTTGTTTTTTTTATTTTACATTTGCCTTGGGACTATGATTCAGTCACACATAACAGTTAAGTTGGTAATAAATATAATTTAATTACAGCCAATTGCTTTTTTTAATTATACTCTACTTGACCAAATTTTTTTCCCACATTGTATCAAACTGCATTGTATATTTTGTGCACAAATTCTGGTGAAATGAAAACCTGAGCTATTTGTGTGATATGAATTTATGTAATATTACTCAATAAAATATCTATGAATCTTACTAAGCAGTTATTTAGATAACCAGAGTATCACAAGATTGATATTTGATGAAGTCATTGCAAAGACTTTGTTGAACATAAAAGGCATTTGGCAACAAAAACTAGAAAAAGACAGGAAGTCAATGTTTCAGCTTTTATTTTAAGGCAAAGAAAAACAACTTGAAAGTACCATTTTTTATTATGTAAAAAAGGATGGTCTTTTAGACAGGACATTAGTTGCGTGACTTACTCAATAAGCAAGTACTTTAGCTATATTCTACTTGACGTTTCTGTTTAATAGCTTCCCTCTAAGTTGTGTGCCATTTGTCATCACAACATTGGTTCATCTATGAATTTAAAGGCTTTTTTAATGTTTGAATGATTCATAGGTCAGATTTAAGTGACCTAAATTACAACCCCCACAAAAAAAACGTCATTATTCTGAATAGTCAGATAAGCTATTGAGAACAGGAAATAAAGAGCAGCCAAAATAAATAAATAAAATAAGATAAAATAAAAATAATAATAATAAAAACTGTGCTCCAGAAAACCTAATAAGTTTATTAAAAATATTGGGAGAAGCAGAATGACCTAAAAAGTCATGAGGCATGAGATTTTTCCACAGACTGAACATTTAGATTGACAGGCAACAATTTATTCTGACATGTTCACCTAATGCTGGTTTATTATTGCACACACACAGATTAAGAATGATAAATGTGCTAAAGCTGAAACACACACCTGCTTTAAAGACAGATGCACCAGCAGCTGTTTAAGAACTTAGATAAAAAAGCTGCCTCTGACGCAGCATGCAGACCTGGGCAAGAAAAGCACCAGGTTTTGACTCTCGCAGCATCTTTCAGATGGAGTCCCAGCTCTCTGTCACCCTCTGTCACGCCTGTCTTCTCCCACTCTGAGCAGGACGCCTCTGATCCACACAGCGTAGCAGAACACATCTCCACACCCGGGAGGAAAACAAACTCATCTTCTTCTGAGCTGGAAGTCAGAAAAAAAAGGAGAGAAACTTGTGATATGCTGTTCAATATATAACCCACACTGGCACGTTTAAAACTAGAAGAAAACCGTTTCCCCGTGCAGTTTTCTTGCTTTGAGGTGACGAACGAGTCAGCGTGGTTTCAGGACCGCGGACAGCTCTGACTGACGGAAAACGCGACCAAACGCGGATCGATGCTGAGAAGACGGAGCTCCGGAGACTTATCTGCTGCGGTCAGAAGAGGGCGGAGTGCGTTTGTCATCCAAGTGAGAAGATCCCTGA